TAAATTAAATGGAAACATATAGTCACGTTTCAATTGATTTTTTAAACCATGTTAAAATATTTTTTGGTCTTGTTAATTGTTAAATACTTTAATTTGCAATTACCATTGAATGTTATCTATTAAATGAATAATACATTAAATTGTTATAAAATATACAAAAATATAATGAAATTATATATAAAAATGTATTTTTGTATAAAAATACTTCTATATTTAGTTAAGACAGTCTTTGGAGAAGGCGACGTGTTCAATAATGTATAATTTGAGTGGAAGAACAGCGATTCGCTTTCTATTTGGCTTCGAATGAAAATGATAAAGCTGAAATTGATATATCGATTCGATAAATTATACATGAATCAAATCTAATGGTTTATACTTAAAAGTCTCATTTACAGCAGATTATCATTTAAGTATAGCTTCCATTTTCATTCGTCTCTATTAATACAAAAAAATCACAGAATTAATATTGTAAACTAGGCTCTATTCCTGAAATGTATATATGAAATGAATCTTTATTGAATGAATCAGTGAATAAAACTATACTCCATAATTATTTTATTTAAAACATAAACACATGATTACATAACAAGCGTAAATTGCGATGCAGTCGATGGTGTTTCATGAGGTTGTCCGCTCGCTCCGGTCTTTCATTAGTCCTTCTTCCAAGTAAATTGTCGAGCACAAAGCAGATTTCGTTCGGGAGAGTCGCTGGTGTGCAATATAAATTCTAATTAGAAGCAGTAAGTCTCATGCAAATAATTGCTTTTATATTACTTTGCAGAGCAAGTAATTCACACCGATCCGCGCAGTCGGGTCGGAAGATAAATTACATTTCCACTCGGATGCTGAATTTACTCATTTAAAAAAAAGAAGGAAATAGAATTAAAAAAAAAATGTGGAAAGAAGCAAACAGTGGACAAGACGTAACGAAAATAAATAATTACCAGTAAAAGTTGCGACGGAGCGGACGAAGACATATCTTTCGTTTTTATTTGCGGAAATTTAACATTCGCTGGTGCAAATGCACTATTTTCTTATTGTATTGAACTTCCGGAAGATTTTGTACATAATGAAAATTTATTAAATTAAGCCCCACGTTGGTCACCAAAAAATAAATAAAACTTATTGTATAATTAGAAAAAATTGACTTATTTTTATCATCGATTCGTGTAAACTATATAGAATATAAATTGTTTGAATTGGTCACCAAATTAATTCTTATTATTTATCATAGTGTTGTAAATATTTGGAATTTGGGTATTTTCTGTGTGTCGATGCGCAGATTAATTTCTATTTATCATATCGGATCGGGCTTTGGGAAGATCAGACGTTCGTGCGCAGAATGAGTGATTGTCATTTGCCTCCTTTTGTGGCAGATTTAATCGAAGCCAAATTACACCTGAAATAAGTGCGTAAATTCTATGAATAATGGATACTGTCTCTCCGTTTCTACGGCTCTTTATTCAGACTGTGTGCGCTTTTTTTCTTCTTTCACTCTGTTGTTATATTTGGTGTGAAAATAGCTTTGCACGACAACAATTGTTCATAATTTGAATTTTGTGTCTATATACTAGAATTGTCACTGTATTAATCATAAAAAATACTTTTTTTTAGCAATATTTTCAGAATTTTGTATATTGTACCAAAGTTCATTATATTGCATTCATTCTATATTATAGGTTAGGTTAAGTGAGGTTAAGTATTAACTATAAAGATAATATATTAATTGAGTTAATCGTTTCATCCGTAATTTAAACTTTTACCTATTTCAATCAAAAAGTAACAAAAATAAAAATATGGAAATTGTTTTCAATAAAATAGAATATTGAGTAATTGGAACAGAAAATCCAAATTGTAAACAAATTCAATTTTGGATGGAAGCAACTGAACTCAATGAACGTAAATTTTGCAGGTCAAACTGTGTGTTTCTCATGGACTTCGGTGGCCGGAGGAATGTGCGGTAACGGTGCAAATTTGCACGGGGAATGCATTATCGATTTTCGAATGGTTCTGAACGCCAAATCGGCGTCTGCCATTTCACGCAATGCTCGATACCGAAACTTTACCCAAAACTCAACCCACCCCATATTCGCAGCATCTGCTAATTATCATGCAATGCCAATTAACGTAATTAGTCATGCGAACGTTCTGCAAATTTGCATCCATTCACATCAATAAATTAATTAATTTCGAATTAATATAGTCCTCATCAATTGTATTGATATTTGTCAGCAAAACAAAATTATAATCAAAACAAAGCAATGTTTCAATTTAAAAACAATTCGTTTTTCAAATTATGTTTATTTTACTAAATATAGTGAATTTTTATATTTATTATAATATAAACAATTTAATTTTACAATAGACTTCACTGTATTTGTTTGATTAATCTTTATCAAATTTTACATTAATTTAACAACGAATTTTGTTATTTACATAAGAATGCGTTTTATACATGCGTTGAAGCTTGACAGTAAATTGATAGCGTTTGAGCAAACAAACGAATGAAATGAACGAACGAACAAAGTTGTTGACAGTCGCTGATAATTAACTGAAAATCCGTCCTTTGTGCTCCATTTTTAAATCAAAATAAAAAAAAAGATGCGGAGTACCGCAGACAAAAGAATGTCACTCCGAATTCGCGATATAATATAAAACGTGGTCGGCTCTGAAATCCCGCGGAGACACACTCTGAACCCATTAACAAAGTTATAATTGCAGTGCGAACGTGCGCGAAGCACAAACGGACTCAAAAACAAAAGCCCTGAAATTCACGTTTCATTGTACACATTTGCGTCTGTTTGTTTTTTTTTCGCGAAAGCGCGACGAGCGGCACGAAAACGTGCAATGGAAATGGGTGAGGGGTGAAAATAGAATAGAAAACCGCAAACAAATGGAAAGAATGAAGAGAGAGAAAAGAGGGAGACGAGGAACAAACGAGAAGAGATGTAACAAAACTGTAGCTGTAGCTAATATAATGTAATTTATTAAAGTACAATTATCCGCGCCGCTTGCAGTGAATGCGATGGTTTCGTTTGTACTAATTAAAGCGTGATTAAATTACTCGTTGAACAAGCGTCTTTTGTCTTAATTAGCCAACTTAGTATTTGTGGCCTATAGGTGTATATGTTTCTTAAGCTACAGAAAATAATCATTTACAATTTAACTATTTACCAATTAAATCTATGTTATCATATCTTATATTTACTTCTCAATTCACAAGTATAAAAAAAACTTATCATTACATTTTTTAAATAATTAATGCATTACATTGTATAAAAGTGAGTGCATACTGTAAAATGTAAACAATTAGAAAAATAATTGTATGTTAAATTTATTACATTAATACATTTTGTTAAATTGTTAAAAGAATAATAAATAAATAAAATATTATCTTATTTTTGAAGATCTAACTGTTCTCTAAAAAATAAAACAATAGTTACTATATAAAGTTTTACTATTAACAGATAAAAACAGTTATTTAATAAAGTTTATTACTGTAAAGATTTGTCCGGAAACTAAATATCGTTTAGTTTATTTGTTCAGTGAGAACATAATGTTACATTGAAATGTAAGGAACCGAAACTATTTTTGACATTAACTAATGAAACATACGAAGCGTTTGCTTCTTGTATTAAAAAAATACCGGATATTTTTTTAGTAATCGAGACACCAAATTTCGTAGAGTATCAATTTAAGTGAAGACATGATGACTGAATCTCACTCAATTTATAAATCTTGACATATAACAAGGTATTATGATAAAATGATGTTAAATTAAATACTTGGAAATTTTAATATTTATATTATACAAGCTGATGTATGTATCTCTTTTCAATCTAACATGTAACATTTAGCTCATTCAACTAATGAGTTTTTTGAAGTTTTATCTAAATTTGATTCTGATTTTCTTGTTGTATGTTTAGAATAACTTTTTTTTAGATGAAATTAAATATTTTCAACTACTAATGAATATGTTAGAAGTTTCTCTTCTAAAGCAGCGTTTCTTCATCTTTTCGCTGCACTACTCAACATATTTGCTTGTAGTCGTTGTACTATGACGCAATTGTTTATAATATAACATTTTTGACAGCTGTCACTTTGCGACTCATTAGAAAAGTATTTTCTGTTTAATTACTAAATTGATAATTTCTGAATGTTAAATAATATAAATATTTGTATTGTTCTTTTTATTATGAGAATAAATGATAAAGATATAGATGTTGTTCTGTAATTCATTTGTTAATGACATCATTTTTGACGTAAGATGACAGTTGTCATTTTGCGACCAATTAAAAATCTATTTCTTTTATAATTAATAATTAAATAGGAAGTAGTATATGAAACATGAACATAACCTTTCCTGAAAGTTAAATATTGTTAATACTAGTATAGTTCTTTGTATTTATGATAATGTTTCTCATTGTCTAATTATTTCTAGTTGTACTGTGACATTTTTTGACGCAACTAATTAAAAATGTATTTTTATAATTAATAATTAAATAAATAAGAAATATTATATGAAACAAGATAAAGTTTCATGAATATTAAATTGTATAAAGAGTTGTATAGTTCTTTTTATTATAAGGATTAATGAGAAAGATTTAAACAGCAGTTTTCTTTCTTTATGATAGATTTTTCTCATTGTCGGATGTTATATGAAATGAGTGTAAAGCCTTCCCCTAATGTGAAAGTAAAATGTTATTATATCTGCATTCTTGGGATTGCATTCGGAGTGGTGCATGTGCGTAGGAGAGAGCTTCGAGTTGGAGGAGAGACCGAGTTCTCCTTCGGTGGCAATATCTGTTTCTATAATTAATACATCTGTCACTGTTCGTATTTATTTATGGAAGTTATATTTGTGTGTGTGTGCGTGTTTTAATTTACTCCATCTTTCATTGCACGTTGGATGCCGGATTAATGGATGTAAATGCATCAACGCGGTCCCCGCTCGTAATAATATTATTATCTCGAGAGAGCGGCCATTGATAACGACCGTGTCGCAACCTTAATACAGTGCAGAGATAGGAGTACGAAGAGAGCAAACAGATATAGTAAGAGAGATGCTGTGGTCCAAAACTGCGATAAGGCTTTCCCCGTGGTGGCAAATGTTGGTTGGATCCATCGATTGGGTCGCTGCCGCCAGGGCATCCAATAAACTAGAGTAGGTCGCGCAACTGGTGATCTGGTCACTGCGCAAGAACCCACCGTTCTCCACTTACTACCAGGGACACCTCAATAACACGAAAGAAGGCGAAAAAAAAAATAAATCAAAAAGATAGTAGTTGTATAAGATATACAGCAACAACAGCATAAACAATCCGGAGTTGACATTGAAAGACTTTCACCGAATCCGGCTTTTTTTCTGGTGAGGTGACCAAAGTGTGAAGCAGCCCAGCAGTCGAGAACTCGTGGTGCGGTGGTGCTGAAGGCTCTAGTTTCCAGGATAAATCAATACGCTCCACTTTTCGGGGCCTCTGGTGGCGGCGCTTTCCTGGATTTTCCCGGCGCGGAGTTTCCTTTACCTCCGCGCAAATTTCCACGGACCGTGCACCAAGCAACTTCGTTCCATCCCAGACCGAAGCCGACGAGAGCAGCTACAACAACAACATCAACAAACATACCTTTGAACCTAGGTGAAGCAGAGCAGAGAGAGCAAGCAACATGAGTGGTGTCGACGATATCATCAACTACAAGCGCAAGGAGTTCGAGGACTACTATGCCATCATGGGATGCGATGAACATTCCTCGGTAAGAATATACACTTAGATTTTCTTTCGTTCGTTCGTTCGCACCTGATTAATTAATGCTGAGTGAAAAGAAACTCGCGGCGCTACGTAATTATTGTAATGAATTCAAGGTCCCTGACGACTTTCCATAATTAAATGCGCTCGACTCATTTCGTATACACTTATACGTCTTTTCTTACTACTTCTTTGTTTTCACATTTTTACATTATTTTTCAACGATCTTTTTTAAACCAAAATTTCTTCATAATTACATTTTATTTATTTCAAATTAATTTAAAAACATAGTATGTAAATCATATTTAAATTCTACAACAAAGTATGAATGAAGGTATATTATCCAAAATTTGTCTTAGTGTGTCTGTAATGCGGCCAAATTTTTTTTTATTGGCGGATTTTTTTACATAAATAAAAATTAAAATTTACGTAGAATCTAATTATTTTATATATAAACGTTTATATATAATATGATAAATAATAAACGAATTTCCTAAAATTTCTATAGAAAGATACTAATTTGGGTAAAAATAAATAAAAAATAAAAATTTATAAATGGTGCAGACAAATGTTGTAATATTATTGTATAATATTACAATAAGAAATAGATACTAGTGTATTCATTTATAATGTATTTGTTGTTTTTTTTAAGTATTTAATCTTATACAAACTTTTACAAAAAATATATTAATAATTACAACTTAAAATATTCGTAAATTATCAATGTTTTTTTTGTATATGAAGTGTATCTGTAATGCTTCCAAATGTTGTAATGTTATTGTAGAATATTGCTTAAAACAATAAGTACAAAATATTTATTAAATGTATTGAAGTAATATTATACAATTTGTACTCTTTTTTTGTAAATAATGGTGATTTAAAATTATTAGACTTTTTTTACATGAAAAATATAAAAATTAGTAAAAAGTCATTTAGTAGATAATAAATCAGATTTTACAACAAGAAATGATGTTGTTGTTTAATTAAGATACATAAATAACAGTTTATGCAATCACTCAAATTATAGTCAATTGAGGTCAAAGACCAAATTATTTTAATACAAAGACAATTGACTTTAAATAGTTTCCTAAGAATTCTTTAATCATTATTGTTCTATTATCTAATATTATATTAAGTTAAAGAGAATTATATTATCTGTATTCATTATTATTGTCTATCAACAATGTAACAATTTATATTAATCTATAAAAATATGATTCATTAAGATTTGTGAATATATAAACAAAACAGTAATATTAAAAGTTATCTTCAATAATTGAAAAAAAAGTCAATTAGTCCTTAGATTGAATAAAATGGAAGAAATTGAATTTAGTGCGGGATTAAAATATAAAGGAAACAATCTAGTAGAGATGAAAGTTATGAAATTTGTCGAAATCAATAAATTGAATTGACTATGAGTAAAAGATCATTGATTTTTCTTTCTATGCCCTATGTTAGGAAGATAATATAGAGCAGTGGTAACCAGACTTTTTGCAACAGGAGCCACACTTAAACTTTTTGATATAACAATTTTTAAAAAATCTTAATCATAATATAATAAATATATAATATTTGTTTTTTGTTGTGGTTCAACTAGCCACAACAAGACTCTTAAAGAGCCGCATGCGGCTCGCGAGCCACAGTTTGGCCACCCTTGTTATAAAGCATATTTAAATAGCAACAAATTTAATTTCATATTATTATGCAATATTAAATAAGATCCAAATTTAACAATCAAATTTTATATTAATTCTATTCTAAAATTGCAGCGCAAATAATTTAATTCAATCATTTGCGTTTGTTGGTTTATTTTGATTTTGACTTGTTTTCAATTAATATTCGTTCTCATATGGAAATCACGGTTTCGCATTACATTGAAACGCTTTATAAAATAAACAATTATTTCAGGGATAATAAAATTATTTTACAATGTTTCAATTAAATTGATTAACAATTTACAGCATTTCATAAATATTGTGTTTACATAAAAGCAATGAAAATCTGATTTCATTAGCTTAATGGAATTTAACCGCAAAATAAAATATTTATTGTTTTGTTTTATTTTTTGTAACAACAGCACAAAATAAGCTGTTATGTGTTTCACATTTTTATTCTCGGTGGATGTTATAAAGCAATTTCATTCTCGATCTTTTAACCATTCAATTCGCAATGTTCGTATTATGTTTGTTACGCCTGTTCGTGCGAGATGTATGATGAATTATTGAAAAAAACTTAATGTAATGGTCATTTATCTGCTGCAGAACGTCTCTGGTGGATGGAAGACATTTATTTATAAGCTTTCAGTCATCTTAACTCAGCGAAATGCAGACAAAATTCGATATTTTATGTGCGTTTTCATATAAGAATATCTACAAGAATATCATCAAATAAATATGTTTTTAATACTATAGATTCAGAATTGATCACTTTATAAATTGACATATATCAATATCTCGCATAGTCCGGATTATCACTATTTAAAACCGGACTAATCGAGGACTGCTCATAAATGGATATATTTGAATAATAATTACGTTTGAATATGTCTAAAATATTATTAAATTAATCCTCTTTCCTAATTAAACTCTTCTGTACTAATATAATCAATATTTAATTTAAATTTATAATGAGAATAATAAAATGAAAGCAACCCCGACCTGGGCGAATCGATTTCCGTAATTGGTGCTTCGTCTTCATTTCCTTCTCGCAAATATTTGCACTCCATTTTCCCCAATGTACTTTTCCTATTAACTCTCTTATATTTATTATTGTTTGGCTTGAATTTTATTACTGTCAGATTCAAATAACAATATTAGCTTAGTTCAATTAGATTGTATATTTTCTTTAAGTTATAACGAAAATAAAATTGTAAATTTAATCCTTTGAAATGTTTGGAAATCAGTTAGATTAAACACTACAGTAATTTATTTACAAATAATATAATTACAATTACAAAAAAAGAAAGTTTAATTAAAAGTAAATTAAAAAAAATATTATTTTTTCCAACTAAGTCTCAGTTTTTATAACTGATTTAATTATAATTTATTAATATTCAATATAATGTAAGTAAAGGATTTTCAAATTATTCTCAAATTCTATTTTTTATAGAAAATTATAATAAGTAATGAAATGTGATAAAATTATCATTTTTTTCAGTAAATATATTTAGATTGTAATGTAAGAAATTTCAATTTAAACAATCATTATTTATATTTGAAACTACAACGTTTATGCGCTCTATTTTGTTATTCTACTGTGAACTAGAGAAAGGAATTACGTGAAATTATTGAATCATACGAAAATTTCACCTCAATTATCTGTTATTATTACAAAGTTTCTGAGCGTACTCAAGGATCGTATTATGTTTTGTGTGGAAACTTCCAACAGAATTACAACATCGAATCCAAGAAATACATTAACCGAATTATACTATTGTAACAACATTTCCCATCAAATAAACACAAAAGTGTTTATTTCACCTATTACAAATTATTTTAACATTTATCAGCAAAACAATTTATTTCAGAAAATATCATTTTATTTTTATATAAATCGAAATATTTTGTATTAAATAAAAACAAAAATTCAAGAAATACATTTATTTCAACTTATACAAATTATAACAATAAATAAAAATAGAAATTTTATCAATAATACAAAAATTGTAACACCAAATACTAATACAAATACTTATTTACATCAAATTGAAATAATTCTTATTTTTTTTTATTTCCAATAGAACTATTTTGCATTTAAACAAATTCTATTTGTTTCTATCAATAAATGTAACCTTGGAAGACCTTGTGAGATTGAAGTTAAAAATATATTCGATTTACAAATTGAATTATTTTCAGTTGCGAAATGCTTTCTTTTCGCACAGGTAAATTATTGCTGCTATAATTAAATTAACTTTATTTTCTAAACTAAACCTAAACAGTTGAAACTAGTGAACTCTGAGACGTCGATTTATCGACGCTGTTAAAATAAAGTGCTGCATTTAAAATAATCTGACTTCAGTCAGTTTTTCTTCGAACTGGAATTTGTTGTTCTAGTTTCTAACGATGTTCGATCATTCCTTAAACGCCGATAAGAAACACTAAGCGGAATTGCACTTGCTGTGCATGTATACGTGTTTCAGAATAATTATTTCTTTTTCACAAAGAGTTCGTCTTACATAATTATACAACTCGTTTCGCGGATTTCGAGTTGTGGCCTACATATGTCTGGATTGGTAATAATTGATGATCCAAGGAATTCGTGTAAACAGTGAATACAAAATAAATGTTGTATGTTTATATGTTCATTTCCGTTCTGTATTTGCATTTCGTTTATAATTTATTACTTAATATTGAGAATTAAAATAATAATTAAGTATTTGACATGTAGTAAATCGTAGTTCTTTCATACTAATTCTAAGTTTTTTTTTGTATAACGCACGGTTTTCATATAACGCATATACTAATATACTAATTATAAGTTTTTTTTGTTTAACACAGTTTTCATATAACACGGTACCAATTAACTTAATTGCATTATAGTGAAATTAATAATTCTTATGCGCACTACCAATTAATTGCGTCATAGGAGAGTTGACTACACTAATTCTGAGATTTTTATTTGTTTAATACGGTTTTCATAAAACGCAGTATCAATAAATCGAGTTCTAAGAAGGTTGAATATACTAATTATAAGTTTTTTTTAGTTTACCACGGTTTTCCTATAACACGGTACGAATTAATTTCGCTATAGGAGAGTTAACTATACTCATTCTGAGTTTTTTTTTGTATAACACGGTTTTCATATAACGTAGTACCAATAAATCGAGTTCTACGAGGGTTGACTATACTAATTATTAGTTTTTTTTTGTTTAACGCAGTTTTCGTATAAAGTGGTAGCAATTAATCGCATTATAGGGAAATTAACTATACAAATTCTGAGTATTTTTGTATAACACAATTTTCATACAACTCACTAGCAATTAATTGCGTCATAGAGCAAGAGTTGTAG